ATGCGGTCGCCCTCCTAAGCCTACCGTTGGATGTTTCCATCAGCCTGAAGGAAGATAGTACAGGGTGTCACAAAAGAAAATTTACACGATCCTTTTTACCGCAAAATAAACGAGGCACCGCCGAACGCTCATTCTCCGCCCAAAGGTACATGCTAGAGGTCACAACCAGATGCCGAAGTTTCAGTCCGATCCGATAACTCAATCAAAAGTTATAAGTGATTTTCTGAAAATTTCAATGGGAAAATGGAGCCCATTTTTGCCCGTTTTCGGTTTCTGGTGCCATAGAGCCCCATGTGTTCGAAAACTCCGTCGGCCGCCATTTTCCCATTGAAATTTTCAGAAAATGAGTCATAACTTTTGATTCAGTTATCAAATCGGACTGAAACTTTGGCATCTGGATGTGACCTCTAGCGCTACCTTTGGGCGGAGAATGAGCGTTCGGCGATGTCTAGTTCATTTTTGCGGTAAAAAAGACCGTGCAAATTTTCTTTTGTGACACCCTGTAGAGAGAATCGCGGAACGGCGCGAAAAAAAAAAAAAATCGCCCAGTTATTGTCAAGCTGATTCAGAAATAAACGTACATAATTACCGCAGTCCACTCAACGCCAACAAAATGTTTTTGCGGGCGCGCTTAATTTTGTTTGCAGAGTACGGCGCTCCGTGACATCCACTTGTCCGTCGAAACGGACCTCCTTCACGTCGCACACGCGGCCAGATTCATAAAACAGTTTTGTCTTCGTCATATTGGCACCACGAAATAAGCTTTCTGGATTCGTAACCGCCTTAAACCCCGTCGTAATCACCCCAGGAACACTGTCCGCTGTGCTGCTAATCGCCACTGCTTCCCCCCGATGATTCTGCACCGGCTACCGAAGAAGCTTTCCGGATTCTTAGTCGCCCACTGTCCTCTGTGCTGTTCGTTGTTATTACTTCGCGATGATTCTGAGCCGGCGACACCGGCTTCCGAAGGAACTTTCCGAACTCGTAACTGCCTTAAATTCCGTCGTAATCACGACGGGGACACTGTCCGCCGTGCTGTTCGTCGCCATTGCTGCCCGATGCTCCTGCGGCGGCTACCGCCAGGTCGCGGCGAACAATAGGCGACCGCCGCGACATGGCCGGCTTGCTCGCTTCCTATAGATATGCCTGGATATGCTCCCACATGAGTGATGTGTCGTTTGCTGAAGCCATATGCTAACCCGACGACAATTGAGAACCCAGGTGCGGGGCAGACACCTGTTTGCAGCCAAGATGGAAATCTTCATCATATCTTTAGTCGGTGCCCTTTACCCGAAATCACCTGGCTAATTCTGCTTGCGGCTCTTGAGTACTTTGTCCGGCCACACCTGATACAAAGTATTTGTAAGGACGTAATTCACCGCAGCATTCTTACGCTTACTTTACACTGATTCAAAGGGGTCCAGACAGAGACTGATACTGATAGAGCACCTTGTCTGTGTGTATACTCTTCTACTGGTCCGTCGTTTCGTTTGCGCTGTTTTCTCATTCTGATATCATCCTTTGCTGACTGAGACTGTATTGCGTTGCGTGCACTCACACAAACCACGAAGAAATACAGAAATGGTGCTGAATGCAGAAGCACAGCAAACAGTTTTATTCAATAAGTCATAAAATACAGAGCTAGGAGCACTGAAAGGCATCCAATAAAAGCACAAGAGAATGCTCGATAACACTCCCCATCATATAGGCACAACTATTGTTACACAGGAAGCGTTGTTAACTGCGGAAGGGGTCAATAATTGGAGGTTTATACAAGCTTAAAGGGACCATGAAATGACCTTTTTACTTTTTCCAGATAACTTTTACATTAAACTGTCAATGTTCACTGAATGCCGAACAGGCATCCGTTTTCGTCTCGGTTTATTAACTTCTACATAAAAAATTATTGAAATATCGACTTTTTCATTCTCTCCAACTGACCGCAAAACAAGCCGTGACGTAGGCCGTTTCCGGAACCGGAAGTTCTCTCGGCAGTAGGAGAATGGGAGTGTTAGCGGCAACGAGTTGGGGTGCGCCGGTAGGTTTTACTGCGCTGATGTCACCGACGTATTTCCTGAATCGGCGCCTCTCATCGCCGCATCGCAGCTGAGCGAAATTCAATGAGATATGTTGCGCTACAGCGACAGCATGGGACTAGTCCCATACGCCGGTATGCCTGTTGGGAAGTGCAGCGAGTCTTCCGATGAAGACTCCAGAAGTAAACCACCCTGTCATTGTAGGCAGAAGGGCCGGCCCGTGTCAGTCGTTTGCAAAGCGACGTAGATGGCGTTTTTCGCGGCCTCGGAGATGCAGGAGCGAGCCGACGTTAAAAAAGATACGTTTGAGCTACGAGTGTCAGCAAGAGCCACGTAAATACCTGTTTACTCGGAGCGGACGCTTGATGGAAGTGCTGTATTCGCGCTGTTTGTAAGCGCTTCGGGACCGTTCTTTTACGATTGCAACTCGATACTGACGCGACACTCGGCAAAGAAAGGTTGGACCGGGGTTGTACGTATACCTCCCACGAACTGTTATAGCTCGACAGTGACGTGCAGTCTGTCAGAATAAAAATGGCATACCAATAACAAAGTGTACATACCGTGTTACGAAGGTAATCCATACGGCGTTTATTTCAGCTCTATATCACACAAAACAAGATAGAATCGACGAGAGTCCCTTTTCGACGAGTGTTCGTCAACACTGCCTCGGAAAACAAGGGGAAGAGATTGACCTCACCTCTTAATCTAGAATTGAGGTCAGCGATCAAACTATAATACGGGAAGGGTCCACAAGGGTCGCGCGGGCATATTCCATTTAGCACGCCAGCCGGTCGTAGGCAGACGGTCTTGCGACGAAGCAACGCAGCGCCGAGTCGGAATGCCTGCTAGGCCTATATTCTGAGCAGCTCGCTTCGTCGGAGTCGGTGGATCCAGCGTTCTTGTTCGTCGTGGTCTGTTTTAAGTACTGCTTTCTTGCTGCTTGAAGTCGGCACGCGCGGGAAGAACACGTAGAAAAATAAACGGTCAGTCAGTCAGAGTTTTGAGAGGAAAGAAAACAAAGAAAATAAACGCTCGACGGTCGCCGCCACCCAAGTAACTGTCGGCCCTACCCTACTGCGCCAGTGTTCCTAACTATTTTTTGCGGAAGTCCCTACAAACGTCTCTGAAAAACCCTACATGTCCCTACATCAGCACCGAAAGTCGCTACGACCGTCTCTACGCAAAAAAAAAAAAAGAAAAAAAGAAAACTGCTGCATTCACAGCATATGCACCACAGTGGCCCTTGACGCTGTAGTCTTCCCTGAAATTCAATTAATTAGAAATGGGAAATATTCTTTTCTTAATGTTTTAGTGAGTAAATTAAGCTTCGTTCACCTAGTCCTTTCATTCTCTTCCAAATTCGTTTTGTGGCGGTAAATGTAACGAAAACAGACATCTTACGTGAACTGCACGCCCTGTGCCTTTCAGTTTACATTTTAGGATATCCATTGCTCCCGTTTCCTTTTCCTGACCGTATCGATCATGCATGCATTCTCTAAGTTTCAAGCGGCGCTTTGTGCAGTCTTGGGACGAATGGCCGCTTTTGCGGGGCTTCTAATAGTGATTTTCCTATGCGAGAGTTGTGTGTAGGCCACTGGTGTAAATAATTTAGCGCAGGAGAGAGGGCACTCTCGTGCCAATCCCGACGGCCCGTTGCTCGCTCAATAATAATAATAATTTATTATCACTTCAAGCAGCAAACATGCCAATCTGCCTCACGTAAGCACCGTGCTTGTTTGTGATAGCGGACAGTTCCAAAGAGTAGGCCGCACGGGCTGTGCATTTGTTTCTACCGTGGTGGGATAGTGTATGAAACTAAAATCTGATCCGAATGGAGCCCCTGTCAATGCCATTACGCGAGCGTTCAGTAACGTCATGATTACGATTGTCTAGAAGTACCAATGTCCGTGCCGAGACCGAAATCTAAAAATTCGGATGCGTAAGTTACGACACTCTAGCCTACCACATAAGTTCGGCTAGGTGGTGGATTTAATTTGTAAATTTATTAAAAAAATAATACTTGCCTCAGTCAAAAGTTACAACGGAAAACAGGAAAATTGCCATTTATTGCAATGATTGCTATTGTCCCCTGCTTATGTCTATTAAAACGCTCTGGTGGCCCAAAATAGCGTTCCAGTGACCAAAAGTAACGATTAAAAACATATATGCACAGATGTTGAAAAGGAAAAAAACTTCTTAGTTGTACATTTCCTTGTTAAAGAGCTTCATATGTCTTTCTTTCACAGTGAAGTTGACACACGTCTCTCCCCGGGTTGCCATGGCTGACTTGACCAAGAGCAGGGCATTGACACTCTCCGGCCCAAGCCTGTTTCTTTTAGGGGGATCGGTGGCCGAGTGGTCTAGCGCACACCAGCTCGGAGCACGTGGAGCGAAAGCTCGCGCTGCAGAAGCCAGGGATCCTGGGTTCGAGCCCCACCCCTGCCCGTTTCGATCTGGATGAGCATCGTACCGGCGTGCGGTCGTGTATCACTACTGCGTGATGCACGTTAAAGACCCCAGGCTAGCGGCTGTACCGCACTGGCTAAATTTCTCATCTACAGCTGGGAGACTCGTCGCCCCTGTGAGGCAGACCAAGTTCTAGGCTGTATAAACACACACACAACCCAATTTTTTTGTTTCTTTTACGGGTCTTCATGTCACTCAACATTGAAAAGATGCGCTCTGTTTCTGCATTGGAGTGAGGAAGGGTGAGGACCAGCTTTGCCAGGGTAGCGATGTTAGGAAGTACTAATTTGTCATCGAACGTCTTCGTCTTGCTCACCTGACCCCAGAACAAGCCATCGCGTCTCACTTGGTCTCAGTGTCTTGTTCTTCTCTTTGTGGAGGTACTCTTGGAGTTCAGCGAGCTGAGCCTGACGCTTACAGCTATGGCTGAAGTAGTTGGCGACGTTTCTCAAGAGGTCCTCAACGTTCCTGGGAAGCCTTAGTGCTGCCTTGCTTGCTGCTATATGCAGCGAGTGACAGATGCAGCGGATGGTTATAAAACTGTCATCCGCCTTCTCTCGCAGCCTTGTCATCAGGGAGTTGCGCTCCCCCACCATCACACAGCGTTGTCGCATGCGAGCGCGATTATGTTGGTTGGCGGGACTTTCTTCTCAGACAGGCATTTCTCCACAGCTGAGGCGAGCGACTCTGATGAGCACGACCTGGCGTCAAGTGGGATGACTTCCAACAGCTGTGTGATTACTTGGTCTTGCTCTTCTGAAAAATAGCGGACGACACAGCAGAGGAGTTTGGTGTTCGTTATGTCCGTGCCCTCATCTACAAATATCGAAAACTTCGAAGCTCCCAGCCTGTGCACGAGAACTTCAGTCTCCGCTTTTGCCAACACGTTTTTTACGATAGATTCACACTTCGTTCTGTGAAGACTCACACCTTTGGCAATGGCTGAGTCATGAAAGACCACCTTAGAGAGCTCGCCCAGATGATCCATTGCCTTGAAGGATAAGGCATGCTCAGCCACAAAAGCCGACATTTTGATCTCAGCAGTCTTTACGTTCTGTTCGTGCGGGTTTGGCTTCTGTACGAATGCTGTCATCAAGTTCTGCTTTCTCAGCCCCGCGGTTGCCTTTATGTGGGCATCTCTTTTTGAATGTTTGGTCAACTCACTGTGTCCGGCGACCAGGCTTGCGTTGCAGGCCTTACATGATGCACGAAATGGGTTTCTTGGGTCCGGTGCGAGCCATCCCTTGAACTCCGGATGCTCCAACCATGCCTCGCGGAAGCGCTGCTTCCTCGAAGGTTCGGCTTCATCCTTTGCCAGTTCCCCTCGGACTTTTCGTTTCTTTTTCGGTGTCGTCACTGACGACGGTCCAGCGTTTTGGTCTGCCATCGTTCTGTTCTATACGAGGCTGATCAAACTGTATACTAGTCACCGGTCGGAATCGGTATGGTTTTGGAAATGAAAGGAGAAAGGGCGAAGGGAGGGAGGACTATTGAAGGGAGGACTAAACAAGCGAAACCACGAGGAAAAAGACTGCGATCGTGCGTGTCGTCTGCTACTTCCGTTAAAGCAGGTGGTCATGTGCTTCGGTGCGGCCAATCAGAAACCCACAATTGCTCCACGCTTCGGGATCGAGGTGCACAAGAGAAACGATGTTACATCTTTATCAAAAAACGCGCCGCAGTGTGTTTATCGCGTTTAACATAATGTGATGATGATGATGATTTTATTGAAACCGCCTGTTCCCTTTGAAGCAGGCGGTTTGAATAGAAATCAGACCTAGCCGAATAAAAACGGAGATAAAAAAAATTGCACTACTGTTGCATTCTTCGCCACCAGTCCTCCAGCCTCCTTTTAGTCCTCTCGACTGCATCGCTGCAGCTGGGCTGCAGTGCCACTGCAGCGCGATTTAAGTCCGCACTGGTCCAGCACACAGCATCCCTGCCTGTGTCCCCAACTCGGAAGCCGAGGGCTTCTGCCAGAAATTGTACGGCTTGAGCGTCCGTCCAGCATTCTGGATAGCTTGTAGCACGGCTCGCAGACGTCTCAGGTGCTCGTTGAAGTCGCTTGCGAATACCACGACGTCATCGAGGTAGACGAGACAGCTTTGTCATTTCAAGCCTGCGAGGAAGGTATCCATTACGGGCTGGAAAGTCGCCGGTGCTGTGCACAGTCCAAACGGCATCACTTTAAATTCGCACAGTCCATCCGGCGTGACGAAGGCAGTCTTCTCACGATCCCGTTCGTCGACCTCGATCTGCCAGTACCCACTCTTCAGGTCCATCGACGAAAAGTATCGGGCGTGGCGCAGCCGGTCCAGAGTGTCGTCGATGCGGGGCAGCGGGTAGACGTCCTTTTTCGTTACGGCGTTCAGTCGGCGATAGTCCACGCAGAACCGAAGAGTCCCGTCCTTCTTTTTCACCAGGACCACCGGTGAAGCCCACGGACTGTTTAAGGGCTGGATGATGTCGTTGTCAAGCATCTCTTCAACTTGCTTCTGGATGACTTCTCTCTCTTTCACCGAAACACGGTACGGCGATCGATGAACGGGAAGTGCGTCGTCATCAGTAACAATTTGATGTTTCGCAACCGTCGTTTGGCGTACCTTTGACGACGTGGAGAAGCACTCCCTGAACTCGGCGAGAAGATCACTGAGTTGTCGCCGTTGTGGGGTAGGCAGGGTTGGATTGATGTCGAACTGCGAAGGCGGCGTTGTCTCGTGTGGCCACGAGGGGAGGTCTTCTGACACTCCGGCGATAGCGGCTGAGTCGGGAGTTCCTCGGCGTGACCCACGGCGGTGCCTTTCGTAAGGTGCTGAGCCTCCTGTCGGAAGCTCGTTACGAGTGCAATCGTGCGTTCACATTGGAGCTCCGCGATGCCTCTTGTGACGCCGATCCCTCTTGGTAATAACAGTTCAACGCTACCTTCCAGCAAAGCTTCTCCGCAGATGCCTTTTTCGGTCACGACAGGCACAAGTACACTCGAGCGTGGTGGCAAGCTTACGTGGTCGGAGATTACACGCACTGTAGCTGACGTGGCTGTCGTAGCTTTGTCATCCTCGGGCACTACGACAGGTTTCCGCAGCCTCAACTCGTTGGTTTCCAGGTCGATAATGACGCCGTATTCGCACAAGAAGTCCATTCCGAGTATAATGTCTCTCGCACAGTCTCGTAGAACGACGAACTTTACCGGACACGTCTCGCCGTGAATCTCGACGCGAGCAGTGCATCTTCCGACTGGCGTGGTAAGATGTCCCCCGGCGGTCCGTATCTGTGGGCCATCCCACGGCGTCGTCACTTTCCGAAGGCGTTGGGAGAGCCTTCCACTCAGGACGGAGTAGTCAGCTCCGGTGTCGACGAGAGCCGACGCGTCGTGGCCGTCGATAACGATGTTTAGGTTATTCTTTACTGTTACAGAAGCGTCGTCTCGGTCTCTGGTGGTGTTTGAGTGGGGGCCCTCCGAAGTTCGTGGAGGTTCTTGGCGTCAGTCGTCTTTGGCAACTCCACCTCCAGGGGTTGCCGCGCCTAGTTTCCCCGACGAGGTGCGAGGGTGGACAGGCTTTCACGTCGGGGTCGGTGCATCGGCGAAGCTGGACGTCGGGGCGACGGCGACCGGGGCTCTCAGCGGTGCCCAGGCTCGGGGGACTGTGGTCGTCGCAGGTACTCGTTAATCTCCCGAGGGCGTTCACCATACCGGGGGCGCGGGTCGTTCGGGTGGAACCCGAGCAGCCCGAGTCGTCGGTATGGGCATCGGCGGTAGGTGTGGTGTGCTTCCCCGCAGTGGAAGCACAGAAGACGTCGGTCGGGCGTTCTACACATCGTCGGTCTACCGGGGTGCGTGAGGCGCCTGGCAGGCGTACTGGACCTGGTCGTCGTGGCGTCGGTCGTGCGGCGGCGCAGGAGGCAGACGTCGGGACGGCGCGACATAGGCGCGAGGAGGAAGCGGTGGCCGTCGGGCCACTGCGGCGTAAGTTAGCGCCGGTTCTTCGGGGACTGCTACGCTTCTGGGAGCCTCTGGCTGAATGGCTCTCTGCACCTCTTCCCGTACGACCTCGGCGATGGGGAGCGAAGCGGGTCGGTTAGCGGTGGGTAGCAGCTTCCGGAGCTCCTCCCGGACGACGTCGCGGACGATTTCCCGAAGGCCGTCGACACCGGTGGTGTTCAGGCAAGATGCGGCGGTTGGAGGAGCAGGCACGCCGGCGAGTCGATGGTAATGGCTTGCTCGGGCCGACAGCGCTCGCTCGATGTTAGTGGATTCAGCCACAAAACCGTCGACGGTTGTCGGGGGATTGCGGACAAGGCCCCCAAAAATTTCAGCCTTCACGCCACGCATAAGGACGCGAAGCTTCTTCTCTTCGGCTGCCTCCGGATCGGCTCGGGCGCATAGGCGCATGACATCTTCTACGAAGCTTGTCACGCTTTCGTTGGGGCCCTACCCTTGTTTGAAGAAGGTCCTCTGCTCGCTGCCGACGGTGGTGGTTGAGGAAAGTTCGCTTAAACTCGGCGGCGCAGGACTCCCACGTAGTGAAGGACGCTTCGTGGTTTTCAAACCAATGCCTCGCTGTCCCTTCGAGTGCAAAGTAGAGATTGTGGAGGCATTGCTCAGTCGTCCATTCGTTGTGGCGGGCTACACGTTCATAGTGTTGCAGCCAGTCTTCAATGTCCTCGTGGACGTCTCCGTGGAAAGGCGTTGGAGTCCTGGGTGCGACCGGCAGGTACACGACGGCAGAAGCGGCCAGGGTCTGCGCCTGGTTGGCCATCGTCGTCTTCGGCTTGGTCGTGGGTGGCAGAAGTCCGTGTTCCGGGAGCAGACCTTGGATGCGGCGACTTGATCGGGTCTCGATCTGGTCTTCGTCGGGTCCTCCGGAGCGTGGGTTCGGACTTGTACTGCGGGAACTTGGAAGGGTGCGCTGCACGGACATGCGGTACCCCGCACCTCCACCAAAATGTCGCGAATGAAAGGGCGAGGAAACAGAGAATAACTGGCGAAACTGAAACGTTTAATAAGGGTGAACTTGTGCCCAAAAAAAGAAAAAGGAAACAAAAGATAACAGCAGAGCGTCGCGGGCGTCGAAGTCGGGGAAAGAGCAGAGTCGAACGCTGGGGCAAAAACTGACTCGACAAAGTCGCCGGAGGCCTTTTATCTAGAGTGAGTCACTATCTCGAAGATTTGGCGGAGAAGGTTCGAGCGTAGCGCGCTCGGGGCGAGAATGAACATGCACTTTCGAGAAAAAACAAAAGCAGGGATTAAACGATAGAAGTTATGTCCGCAGAAAGAATAAAAGAGAACCTTCTACAAGTCCGTGACCTTGCGCGCGGCAATACACTTGTGCAAGTACTTGGCACTAGCAGTTCCAAAGCCTTCAATAATGAGGCTTTTACAAAAAAAAAATGGCACTGCTTGATGTGTTTCTGTAAATAGTCTGAATTTCGCAGTATGTGCCATCTCGCATCTTTACAAACTATGCGCACGTCTTCTTCGGGCGCGTGTACTCGCAGCTGTGGACTTTAAAGCCCTGTACCCTTGCTCTCAAGTGCCTTTCAAGAGTGGGTACCTGGCCAAAGTGACACTCAAGAAGACAATGCACAGCAACGGTCATTGAGCCTGCCTGTGGAACACCTCAAACACCGTTCTCAGGAACGTCCCGAATCTTCATAAACGTCCGAAACAGTTGGTCAAAGCTAGCTCGGAGGTGGGTCACATCACCGAGTCTTGCCAGGGTCTGCTTCATGACCCATCTCTCGGCAACCTGCATAGGGACACCTTTCGCAGCGGTGACAAAGTGCTGGAGCACACCATTTGCACTCTCAAACGGGAACATTGATGTAACCCACAAGGGACCCAGCTGCATCACACATTTTGGCAAATGCATAAGCCGATGCATGTTTGATGTTTCTGCAGCTTCACCATAAAGAGCAGATGCATGTTGTAGGAAACGCGTCAAAAGTGCTTCAGCAGTCCTGATGTCGGCCCTGCTAACAGTCTTCTGCACGAGCAGAAATGTTGCCTGACACAAAAGTGTGAGGTGCACAAAGTACTGGCGTGGAAGTATGCTATGAAAACAGGGCATAGCATAATAGACCAGCCAGTACCTCCATTCTTTAGCCTTCCACATAGCTCGTTCTTTGATTTATCGTGTTGAGCGCGCAAAGATAACTCCTATAGGCTCTACACTTCGTCTCACTTTAGCTTAGACTAGCTGCCAAGGTTGTGCTACACAAGATAGTAGCCCAGACTGGCGGCTGGGCTGCACGAGCACTCGTGGAATCTCCGAGGCATCATTCAAGGCAATTAGCTCGCGCTGTTATCATGTGTGGCCAACAACAGCCTATGCTAGGGTGAGACGAAACATAAGCATCCTAAAAAACAAAAAAATCTTGCTTGTGCAATGCTTATTTCCTTGTCAAAAATGTGGTTTAAGATCGCAACACGCCCCTTCCTTAGCGGAACTTTCCGCTGAAGAAAAACAGTGCATAATCCGGCCATGGCGAAATTGAAGTGACGAAAAATGCTCGTCATCCAATCGCAAGCCACCCCTCTGATAGCAGACAATGCCCATTGTCTGCTATCGAAGAGCCACCTTGCGATTGGCTGAGCTCCGATAGCTAGTTCAGATAACAGTAAAACAGAAAAAGAAAATACTTTTTGGTTTGAACCGTGCTTTACTCTCGGCAAGCGTGTGCTTGTTGTCCGAGTTATAGTCG